CCCAATTACCCAATTAAAAAAAAAATCTTAAAAAATAAAAATAAAAAAAATAAAATACAAAGCTAATGAACAACATATTCTGCAACCAATGAGAGCGAGGCGGAGGAGAGCTCCGCCCCGCCCAAGCTTTGGCCCCACCCCTTTCCCTGGGTCCCGTCCCTCCCACCCGCGGGTCCCGCCCACTCTTGGCAAATATTCCTGCGGGACCAGGATCTTAGCGCTCCTCAGAGGCCCCGCCTGCGGCCCACGTTTTCTGGCAGCGTAGGCCGGAGTTTCTTGCAGACCCGGAAGCGGCCAAGGCAGAGAGAAGGTCTGATTGGCGACCGTGACTTTCAGTGTTTGTAGTTTAAACCTGAGCGTCTCAGTCCACCGTCCTACGCTCCTGACGCCTGGGGGTCAGTACCGACGGTGAAGTCCCCGCACCCGCGCCCCCTACAGCGGTGAGTCCGGCGTCCTGGGGAGACCTCCCGATCCCAGGCCGCTTCGCTGCCTGGTGGAGGGTCCGCGGGGGTTTCCGGGTAAACTGAGGCCGTTCCCCTGTGGTCTCGCCGTCTTCGGGCCACTAGACCCCGCCTGCCGCGTTGTTTTCCTGCTTAAACCCCCCCCACCGGGCAGCGCTCCGCCGCGCGGTGTGAAGTCCTGGGAGACGGACTCGGGAGACGGAGTCCAGCCGTTGGCGCCCCTCCCCCAGCCTCGCCCCGCGGCCCTGGGAGCCCGGCCTCCTCCCTGCCTGGGGCTCTGCAGACCCTCCCCGCCGCCTGGAGACCCCCCGCGTCCCGGTTTAATAAGAGGCCCGAATCCCAGGAAGAGCACACTTTTCAGGGGGTTGGGATTTCGGAGGGAACACCGCGGGGTGTCACCAGGTCACCCCCTCACCAGGGGAGGGGTTTTGTGTAAGCGGCGACTGTAAAGGGCAGGCCAGGAAATCGGCAGAACAAGGTTGTGAGGGGGTCCCGAGGAGGAGACAGAATGAGAGGAATATACAGGTGAGAGGGCAGGAAGATCAGTGCGGGGTCCGTAAAGAGGCGGGAAAACAGAGGATGTGGGAGGGACTTGTAAAGCGACGGTTAAGACCGAGCGAGTAACTCGGGGAAGCAGCCAGAGGAGAAAGCAAATGGAGAAATATAGAGGGAAGGGAGAGTTCGAGAGAGATGAAGGGTAGCTAAAAGGGTGAGGGGCCCCTGGTTAGCAGAACTGGGGGGGGGGTAACAAAGGACAGGGAATTTCAGACGGAGAGAGGGGTTAGGAGAAGAGCTGGGGGAGCCGAGTGCAGGACCAGAAATGAGGGGAGGGGGGTGACAGCAGAGGGAGAAGCCGCACTGAGCTAAGCTGGGGGTGTCAGTGAGTTGGCGCGCAGGGGTGTAAGAGGAAAGACAGTGTCACCGGGGAAGAGGAGGTGCACAGGGCGGGGGAGAAAGAGGCAGAAATATGTGGAGATGGGGAGCAATCAGATCAGGGAGAAAGAGCAACTAAAGGTGAAGTGGGTTTCAGGAATTTCACAGAAAAGGTGCAGAGAAGGGGGCAGAGAATGGGAGAAATTAGGAGAAGGGGAGAGGGGGACAGGAGAGGACAGAAGTGGAGAGAATCCGGATGCAGATGGACACACAGACCATAGACAGGAGTATATATAGTAGCAGAGGAAGAAGGGGTGCCCCTACCTGGATGCTCTGTGTGAGTTGGTGGGATGTGGGTGATCAAATATATTGATTTGTGGCTTTATAATCAATTTAATTTTACACGTGCTGCATTTTCAGTCACACAGATGAGAATGGTAATTACAAAACTCCAGTTTCTAAAGCTTGTGCATTCAAGAGTTAATTTCATCACCCAATGGCTTCTTTGTGCAATGCTTATGTACCCAGAGGGCAGAGACCTGTGTCAGTTAGTCTGGGTCCCTTCTCATTTGCTGGAATGGCATGAGTGATGTGACCTGGGACAAGAAATGACTGAGGCTGTCACCACATGATGCTTTTCAAGGAATAATAAAAAGCATTGCGTCTTTTTTTGTTTTACATGGAATTTACTTTTTTCTTTCTAGCTCTCATACATTTGATTCATTGTTTTTCTTTGAAAAGCACATTGAGTTAAATATTAGTCTGCTAAATTTCTGCTTTTTTGTAAATAGTCATTAACTTCTGAAATAAGCTTTGATGATATGTCATTACCAGCTCTTATCATTCTTTTTTATACGTGCGGTAGTCTCAATTTTCTTTTAAACTTTGACCCTAGAAGCAATTACGGTAAAAAAAATCTCAGATTTCCGTTCTAATAACGTTGTGTTTAGTTTAGATGTGAAGCCCTGCATTCTTTCTACTCTTTATCATGTTGAAACATCCATTGGTACTTATTAATAATAGGTCACTTCAGTGTGCCTGCGGTGAGAACCTAGTTTGGTGAGTTAGTCTGATATTCAGCAGCTTTTCTCTTCTCTTACCATGATTTGTTAAGTTAGTGAGCTCGGAGCTACCAAGTAGCTGTCACCTCAAATCCCTCTTGTTCATTCTCTGAAAATGTGGAAGATTGGATCCGACAGACCTGAAACTTGGTTCCCAAGGAGCCAGTCTATTCACAGTGAAGTAATGTTATCAACGTATTCCCATAGTTAACCGTTTTTAAAAGTTTTCAGCACCAAAATGTGTGTTCATTATTTTATGGTTTTTAACTAATTCTCTGTGATGTCCTGGAAAACAGGAAGGAAATACACCCGGGGAGCCAGCCCTTCTAGAAGTTCCCACGCCAAACCCCCACACTCCCCAGAGCTCTCAGGAGTGCAGAGTCTGAGATGGAGTCTGAGATCTGTAGCCCAGTGTGACAGGAAACAGGTCTGGGGAGCAAGTCAGCACCCCCAGGGAGACTTAAAGATGCCATTTCCTGGGACCCCTGCAGACCTGCAGAACCATAACTCCTTAGAGTGGGCCCTGCTCCCCCAGGGACCTGCATGCTCATTGAAGCTAAAAGTTCCCATCCAGGTCCTCCTTGGTTGCATGAGGAGTTCAAGGAGTGCTGTGATCTGCGCTCTCCCCTTGGAATTGGATAAGTGGTCTGGGTGGAGCAGCACTGTTGTTTTAGTGAGGTGTTCAGGTGACTCTCAAGTGAGGCAGGGATTAGCTGGGGGCTGGTGGACAGAGTTCTGACAGTTGAGAGCAGGCTTTGGAAAGGCAAGGTAATGGGGTACTGTGTTTGGTTTTGGGAGCCAGGAGAGCATCCCATGTTCTCATTGCTGTAGGAATTTGTGGACGTCTGTGTGAGGGGAGGGCACGTGAAGACAGGAAAGAAAAAACTGACAGTTCTGTCTTCAGTTTAGGTGCTCATGGTTCCTGACTGTGTCCTGTGGCAAAGGACAGGAGAGGGCCACCGTCTCAGCATTTCAGGCCTTCATTTTGGGGGAATCAGGCGGTGATGTGGAGGGGGACTGTGCAGACACCCTTGAAGGCACATTTCTCAAGATGCAGATGTGATTCCTCCCGAGAACATCACCTAAAGAAACAAACCAGAGCAGGAGGAGGACGAGGACGAAATGGCTGCTTCTCAGGTAAGTGTTATGTCCCGGGTCACACCTGTGTCTGCTTTTCCTCCTAAAATCTGTGGGTTTAGACCCTGCCACCTTTAATTCTCTATTTCTGACATTCCTGCCTAGCGAGTTTCTCTTCAACTAAGTACAGTGCTCAGAATAGCCCGGAAAGTTCTTTAAAAAAAAAGAGTAATTGGAAGAGACTTGCTCACTAGATTGGTAAGAAAGACTTACTATTTAAATGCACTGTTACAGTTACAGAACCTGGGAGCTATATGTGCATTGAATTATGCAAAAAACTAATATTTCTATGATGAGATTCAGATTATGATTTCTTTATGTGTTCATTTTTGCCGGTAACGTGACAGCAGTGATGGTGTGTCTTCCATGTGCCTCAGCCAGCCGATGCAAATTTGATCCTTCTGCCTGATTTTCACCTGGTTGAGGTCCTGTCTTCACTATAAAGTTAACATTTTATTCTTTATCATTAATAAAGTTCTGGAGGGATTTGTAGAAAGATGTGCAAAAACCATCAGATTTTATCTGGAAACTCCCTTTTTTCTTAGTTTCTCTGTTTTGGAAAATGAAGGCCCTCAGCTTTCTTTACTAGAGGTAATTGGCTTTTGGAGTGGAGGCTTTAATGAGTAAGGCCTTGTTCCTATAAATTTTCATTATATTCCACACTCATGTCACAGACATTCTCTGCTTCACTAGTTTTTGTGTTTTCATGAAAGTTTACACGAATCATATTAAGGTGTTGAAGTGTGGTAAATCTGTAATGTATAGCTCAG